CATCAGCGTCAACTGAGGTCGCTTATAGGCATCAGGTGGCCTCAGACGATATCGAACAACGCACTATACGCCCAATGTGAAAGCCAGCCGATCAGTCACACCATCAAGATATTGCGATGGAGGCTATTCGGACATGTCCTCCGTCTGTCCGACAGCACACCAGCCGTCCAGGCAATGCTCAGCTACTACACCAACAAGGACCTCAAGGGCTGGAGAGGACGGCTGAGGACCAGCCTGCTGGGTACACTATCTGCTGACTAGGAGGCAGCAGATGCCGGAGAGCTGAGTAGTCTGGAGGACTTGCACACAATCAGGAAGATTGCAGCGGATAGGGTCGAGTGTGGAGCTCTGTGTCAAGGGGTGACAGAAAAGGATCTGTAACGGACAGATGACACTGCAATATCTGACTTCTTCTCAACGTACAAGTACTTGTATGTTTGGATGGTGCCTTTATTGCTGATCCACCACACCATCACTCAATGCTCTCTACTGCATTGTTCACCACCACTGACTTTATACTTCTGCGGCTCCTTTTCCCCTTTTCTTCTGATTCGTGCTGTTTTGGTTCTGATACAGTGATCGTTTGATTTTTTCCCACAGCGTATCATTTGTTATCCTCCTGCCTTCGTTGTGCAGCACAAGCGAAGAAGTGGACCTATCGGTCGACTTCAACGCGAAAAAATGCACATAATAATATTAATATCTTGCTAAGCCTTTGGCATACTATGGACGTTTTCCCTGATATATGACGAGCATAATATGCTCTTTTTTTAGCATATTTGGTCGAGGCCTACGCAAGGAGCGCCTTTTGGCCATGAGGCGTTAATCTCACATTCGAAATAATAATAATAATAATAATCGAAAATGTGAAGCGTAAACTCTCCAGCTCTATGTGCAAGTCAGTCTCGTCTACACCCCCATGTAGACTTACATATCGCTGTATGTGTTGTTGATGCTTCACAAATGTGTTATTTTGCCCGTACAAGAGGCTCATACCAAGAGTCCATAACCCCCCAGAGTGTGCAACTCGTGATCCTTCTCAGCACAAATCAGTGCCGCAACGAAATCCAAACTTCATACGTCATGTAGTGAGTAGCTATGACGAAATGGGAAGTTTGGCCCGGACCTACTTCGCCCGTTTGCCCAATTTGGGGTCTTTCTTTACGAATCCACGGCCACGTAACACGCCTGAAACTGAAAGGCTCAAGTACACAAAGAATTATTTTAGAGTTGTCGAACAGTTTTCTCTTTTGAGTGTCTCTCCGATAAGAGAAGAACAATGGCCACTGTTGAACCTAAAGCAAAGCGCTCCCCATTGTCGCCGAAGTGCAGTGTCTCTGTGGACGATATTCGTCAGTTTTTGCTCGATCTGGGCTCCTCATTTTCTTCTCTCGATTGTCGAGTGTTGGAAATTGTACCAAAATGGGACTGAGGAGCAGGTTGAAGCACATCTACTTCGAAATCGATCGGGTCTTCATGCCGTGTGCCAAGAGCTATTTCCATCAAATCTTGTAAATCTATATCCATGCCTATTCTTGCTATCCCGGAGTCACGAACTCTCCCAATACAAGCTTTTCAGACAACGAGCAGAGAAACTCTCTTCAAATAAAAAAATTCTGTGACTGTGAAATCAAAGCCGTTCTGCTGACACTGCATAGCCCGTGGAGCAAACGTTTTACGTGACACTTCCGTGGCTTGCTTCAACTTGGAACCCCCGCCGGATGTACCAGATATGCACATGGCCCCATCCGCCCATGCTTGCCCGGGGACCGGATGACGCAATGTTTGGATTTCGTTGCGCCAGACCCCAACCTGGAGTTGCACACTCTGGGGGGTTATGGACTCTTGCTCATACTCATAGCTGTTTGAAAATAAAACATACAAATAATTCAATACTACAGATTTACAGACTCATTACTACCATGTAGATCTACACTACTACTACTTGAAGTACTACTACATGTACTACAACACACATGTGTAGTAGAACAGTAGTACCGTTCTCAAGTACATGACATTGTACTGTCGTGGACATGGAAATCCGGTCGCACGTCTAGCGGCCCCAGCGCGCTGGCCATGCAGCCGTGGGTGCTGCACACGATCGTAGGTCTACGCGCTGGAGCTCCCTGATACTAGGGAGGTTCTGCTATACGTGAAACGTAGAGAAATCACGTAGAGAGCAGGTAGGTGTCTGGGTTTAAAAGCTGAGAGTCTACGGCTTCGCGTGTTTTGGCTCCAGATTTCTACGCGGAGATGGGGTTCTCTACGTTGTGGCACACGCAGAGAAAATGCGTACGGATTTGCTGGGTATCGATCAACTGCATGCAGAAAACTGCCAAATATGGAAGGGGAAATTCCCAGTACACATTCCACGTGACTTCTCTAGGTGAAACGTAGAGCAGAACAGCATTTCTTTACGTTACGGGAACGCGAAGAAAGTTCGCGTGATTCTTTGCGTCGCGTTCCCAAAACGTAGAGCAGAACCTCCCTACTATAGCATAAAAAAGACTGCAATGTTCTGTACGCGCTGAGGGCGCCAGCCCCGGTCACAGTAGCACTACGTACAGTGCTACTACTAGTAGTACTAGTAGTAGTAGTAGTGCGGAAGGCGGGTTCGATACATGCATGCATCATAATAATGAATGACAACTGCATGATTCTGACTCGTAGATCTGGATCTACATACTGTACTACCGTACAATGACAATTATGTAGACTCTGACTCTGCTGACAGCAGTGCTGTCGAGTGCTGAGACAGGCCATCATGCATCATGCCATGGTATGGGGCATGAGGGCGCTACGAGTCGGTGAGAAACGCCTAACCGCGATGGCAACGGACTAGTTTACAGCTGGCGAGTGGCGTAGTTTTTTTGCAACTTGAAGTAAGATGTAGTGACAGTAGCAAGCAGGAATGAAACTCATTTGAACGAGGTCGTTTCGTCCTTGCTGAAATAGAAATTGTCTTTGCAGTGCATAATATTATTTGTCTTGCCCGGAGCTCGGTCGCTGATCGTTCTTAGATTGATCCTTTCCTTTAGCGGATTCCGGAGCGAGGCGGTAGGCGCTCGCCGGCACCAGTCTGACAGAAGAAGAAAAATTGATTTCGTTTGCAGTCGGTTTGAATAGGCTCTGTTTGAAGTGAAGTAACGTTAGCCAAATCAGTCATTGGCGAACCTGCGCGAAATGGACTGAGGAAAAATTACGAAGGCACTTCACGTTGATGAACGTCTTCAACTGACGATAGTTTATTTGTGTCGCTGGGGCTGGGGCAATCATGTCGAACGCCGGTTGGCCAGAGGCGTTCGGCTTCAGCATCGGCGGAGGCCGGCCGGCTTTGATCACGGCAGTGCGAAAGGGCAGTGCCGGACAAATAGCTGGCCTGCTTGTCGGAGACATGATAAGCGAACTGGACGAGCAAGACGTCCAGCAATGTTCTTGCGAGGAGCTGAAAATGCTTGCCCATCATAGCCGCCGCGTGCCACCCGCCCTGAACGTCATCTCCAGAATCATCACCATTGAAATTCCACGCCGCAAGAATACACCGCTAGGATTTACGCTACGAGGAGATGGCCCGCTGTATGTGCGCAGCGTCGAGGTCAATGGCCTGGCACGCAACGCAGGAATGAGATCTGGTGATATGCTGCTGCAAGTGGATGGCGTTGGCGTGGAACAGATGATGAAGTCCACAGTGCAGCGGCTGATCGAGGAAGGGACATCACCTTTCCTCAGGCTAGTGCTCATCTCCAGTGGACTTGAGCCCCTACCTAAGACATTCAGTATGACGAGACCAGCGGATCGCTACGAGAAAGCAAACATCTTCTATGAGCAGGTAACAATGTGTACTGGCTGAGATTTAGCTGTTCAGTCGGGTTTCACACAGGTTTTGTATACCCAGATCAGGTTGTAACTTCCTATGATGTAGGGAATCAGAATGTGTGGAGCAGCAGTTTCAAAACCCGTGTCACAGGTTTTAAATGGAGAATTGCTGTCGTTGAATTTGGCCTGGAGCAGAGTTTCCAATCTAAAAGATCTACATCATAGCAGGAAATTTTTGGACCGGAATATTATCGGACAGAGCCGAATTTCGACCTTTCGTATGGATTTTATTTTCGTACAGTGCGGCATGCTAAATGCACGTGCTCGCATGCAGTATGCATGTATAGTGTACATAATTTCACATGAACAAAATTTAGAACGGAATAAATTTCAGAACAAAAGAGGCCGTGTACGAAATCGTACGAAAATAAATTCCGTCCGAAAATTTCCTGCTATACAGTAACTCTTCTGAATGGACATTGCGAAAAGCAATCACTACTACAGTGCTTATCAATGTAAAGTCCGTCCATATAAAACCGTGTGAGTCAAGTAAGGCCGTCATCACACTACGTTCTCCGACTCCCGTTTACGTCTACGTCTACGGTGAAAACCCCCAAAACGGGTGGTCGTGTCATCAGACAGGGGCAGTGCTTGACGCATACACACAGTCACGTTTTTGGATAAATTTTAACGCACGTACATTGAAGTACAAGGTTGCTCGGAAAAAGGCCGGGGGAGATACGCACGTTCATCTCAACAGTCGTATACACCCCCCCCCCCCCCCTCCCTACCACGTCTACATTTCCCGTTTCCTCTGCTCCCATTTTCACCCCGTATTCGGATCATCATGACAACCGACCAAAAACTCGTTACGTGGACGTAGACGCAGCGCTTTGTACCGTGGTGTGATGACAGCCTAAGCGCCGGACGTTGTGCAGCCTGTGTTTACCAGATTGTGAACTGGCACAGGGCGCAAACATGACTCGCGCGATCGGATTCTCATCGAGCAGCATTTATGTAGGCTATGCTACCAATATCATCAAGAATGCTTTGTGGTCAGTGGAAAATCAGTACTGGTGATGCAATTGTTCTGACACTGTGTGTGAAGCGTGCAAAATAAGGATGTAATGCAATGTATGCATTGAAGATGGCCGTCACCTTTTTGCGGGGCAAGTTACCCCATACTTGGCAGGTACAACCCGTTATAGTACATTACCTTTATGAGTATGACCTTACAAGGTTCACGACCTTTTACGCAGAGCCGGTGTCAAGATGTGCACAGTTGCAATGGACGTGGCCTGTACTTGTAAAACCTAATGGCGGGAAATGGATGCATACGACCCAAAGCATTGAGCGCAGTGTCGCATGCACTACAGCTTACCATCCATTCATCTAAAACAGCCTCCATTCTTACCCATCATGAGAAGCGACCGAACACGCTCGGTTAGAAATCGGCTTGACTGCACTGTGTGGCCTGTGCCGTTGATAGCACTTCGTCCAGAATTGGATGCGCTCCCAATTTGTTCTTGAACTGAACGGCAGTGAAACCTGTCCTAACCGGATGCCTTTTGTGCAGCGGAAACAATCCTGATATGACAGGATTCAGCTTGATCCAGGGGTGCACGTTCGATCCACAGCACTTTGGTGCATGCAAGTGTGTCCGCTCAATACAGGCTTCTGCTTGGTACAGGGTCCAGCTAACACAAACATTCTAATAAAGTGTCCTGCTATTTTCTGTGCCCTTTGTAACCCAGATGGACTTCTATCTGATGGGAGAGGATGCACACAAGTCCAACCTGCGCAACGCCATGAAGGACTATGCCAACGACAAGAGAGTGGACAAGCTGGGAAGATCACTGCAGCAGATACTGACGACCAGAACCCAGCGGCGTCTCCTCAAATACATCCGGTAAGCGTGTGCTGATTATCGTAACTGGAAGTGAAGTTTTCTTTCATGGCAATGCAGGCTATGAGGTTGCACCAATCGAACTTACCTAAGACTTGATGGAACGATATTATGTATTGCAAAACTGCACTAATGAACAGTGCAATGTCCCACTGTTAGAGATGCACTCACTGGAGGAACTTCAGCTGTTTCACAAGACTATTTTGCTGTTTCCAATGTAAGAGTGAGGTGCACTCTTGAATAGTGGGATCTGTTTGCGTTTCGACAAAACAAGCCAGTCATGCAAAGCCATTCCTTGTACCACTAACACCCAGCTCAGCCATCTGGGTATGATTGTGTAGGGTGATTATGTAGTGTGCAGAACATTCCTGATCCCAGCATACTCACAAGCATTACTCGTGCATTCCTTATTGGGAGGTGTGCAGTGCTTTTACACACTTATGCAGACAAATCATGGTAACTGCATGCCCGGAAATGTATTCTCCACCACGCAATTTTGCTTTCTTAAATGTATTGAACCTTGTCCTCACGTAGCTGCTTAGGGCAAAATTGGCCCCACCAATCTGAGTAAAGAGAACATACCAACTGATGATATACCCACATAATCTCCATAGATACACTGACATGCCATGCTCCGGGTCATCATCATCATCCCTTGTTATTTCACAGAGACTTTGTGCCGGAGCGGAGTCAGCCTCAGTTTGATGTCCTGGTTTCCATGGATTCCGACATCATACTCGGTGATCGGCACCGTCGTCCGCAATCCGTCGCTCCGTCCGGGTCCTCGCAGAGTCTCGCCGCCGGTGACCTGAGCCGGTACGTGCTATACAAAGTCACACACACACACGCGCACACACACGCTCACACACACACAAACACCCAGACTCCCACTTACACTCACCCTCACGCTCACACTGTATGCACAGCCACCTTGCTCGGCATGACTGGCTGCCTCTATCATCTTTCCTTTGGTCTTCATAATACAATATCCAACCTTGACAAACATCCATCAATTCCAAATTCGAGGACTTGTTTTCACTTCTATTTTGAACCTCGATTAACTTCACACTTGTGCACTATTTCCTACAGAGTCTTGTCGTCAAGTAACTCGTCATTGTCCAGGGAAAGAAGCTCGTCTGATCCGAGACGGCAGGCTCCAAACATGGGAGCGCGTCAAAGGTAAACAACAATGAGACCCCACACGTTATATCAATGTCACCATTTCCCCACGGGCATGGAATGTGTGCAGCAGGGGCGGGTAGTGGTGGTTGTGTGTCTGTGTCGGTGTGTGTGTGTGGGGGGGGGGGGGTGTAGTCTGGCCAGTGGTATGCTTTTCATGCATTTTTCATTCACAGCGTCGCCTGTGTGTCATGTCAAGCGACTATCTATTTTGCGGGTATGTTTGCACGAGAGAGGGAAAAGGGACTACAGGTGTCTTAGCATTCATGTGGTATATCACTTATGTATGGCTTTGTTGCTCATTTTCCTTTTTCATCGCTTAGGAGAGTCCAAGTGCATCGCGGTGCGCACGGTTTTGGAATGACGTTACGTGGCAATGCTGACCAGCCACTGTTCATATCGGCAGTTGATCCAGGTACGTACAAGGCACACCACACAAGTACAGAGAGAGAGAGAGAGAGAGAGAGAGAGAGAGAGAGAGAGAGAGAGAGAGAGAGAGAGAGAGAGAGAGAGAGAGAGAGAGAGAGAGAGAGAGAGAGAGAGAGAGAGAGAGAGAGAGAGAGAGAGAGAGAGAGAGAGAGAGAGATAGAGAGAGAGAAAGAGAGGAGGGGGGGGGGGATGCAACTACTGTGACAAACACTGGGAGATGGTGTATACCAGAGCTGGAGATTGGAGTCGAGACCAAGCAGGGGCAGTAACGGACAGAACAGGGGACACGGCAGCGGAAAGGTTGGTTAACTGTTCTAACTTATGCATCTCTGTGTGTGCGTGCATGTGTGTGCGCACGCATGTGTGCGTGCGTGTGCGTACATGTGTGTATACATATGTGTGTGTGTGGGGGGGGGGGGAGGGGGTGCGTGCATGCGTGCATGTATGTGTATATGTGTATACAGTCAACTTCACTTATAACGACACTCGGCGGGGCATCAAAAAAAGTGTCCTTATTCGCGAAGTGTCGTTATACCCGAAGTCTCATTATGTATTACGGTAGAATGGACTCTGCTCTGGGCATGGAAATTCTGTCGTTATTCGCGAATTGTCGTTACATGCGCAGTCGTTATTAGCGAAGTTAACCGTATCTGTGTTGTTGTTGTTGTTGTTGTTGTTGTTTCTTCAGGAGGTCCAGCCCATGGTGCTGGCCTGCAGCCTGGTGACAAGCTGTTGGAAATCAACGGCCTGGATGTACGGTAAGTCGTGGTGTGAGGCAATAACAGTTTCAAAGGTTTCCAAAATTCCATGCCCGATCTGTGGTATCAGTTGCTCACCAAAACAAATGCAATTGTGAGCACAGCTAATCCAGCATTGCCAAGAGTGTATGTGGCTCGAAATCAAGAACCTTGAGTTTCTGTGAATTTTTTTATGCTACATAAGAGAGTATGTCATGAATAACATGAACCCAGAAATAGAGGTGCTGAAGGTAATGACATAACTTTCACATTAGCATTCCACTGCTTACCCTTCTCCCTATCATTTTCTTGTTCTACATAGGAAATTTGAGTACAAACGGGCGCTGGAGCTGTTAGCGGGAAGCGGCTCCAGACCGGTTCTACTCATTTCCAGTCCTGCAAGATCAGCTCCAGCGTCGAATCGAGTGCGCGCGCAGAGTGTCCATGCTGGCCAGCCACACGGGCAAATGAGTAGATCATCCAGCATTGAATCCAGGTCTTCATCACGACCTCACAGTGCAATGCCCGATACGCAGGTCCGGGAGCAGTTCCGGGAGTTCAAGATGCAGGTGAGCCAACTTCTGCACAGACACATGTCTCTTGCTCTCCTTCTCTTTCTCTCTCTCTCTCTCTCTCTCTCCCTCTTTCTCTTTCTACCTCTCTATCTCTCTCTATCTATCTCTCTCTATTTCTCTACCTCGGTCACTCTCGGTATCTCTCGGTCTCTCGCACACACTCACACATGCCCGCACGCCCGCCCGCGCACCCCCCCCCCCCCCCACACACACACACTCTTTATCCCTTTGCCCCTGAATTGTTTTGACATTAGACCATGTAGCAAGCCAGGTGTACGCATTCTGTGCTGTGTAGCTCCGGCACGGGGAAAAGTATATGACACACTATCCAATCTGCATGCATTGCTGCTGTTACTTATTTTCATGTGTTGTCTCTGCTCACAGATGGAGAGTATGTTGTCAAAGAGTGATTGTGATCGCGTGAAAGCCTTCTTGGCGCAATATAACAAAGACAAGTAAGTTTTGGCTATTTGGTTTCACTGTTCCTCCTCTAGAAGTCATGAACGAGCCATGCTGTTGGGTATGAAATGTTCTGCATATGTGTGTGTGTGTGTGTGTGTGGGGGTGGGTGTGTGTGTGTGTTTGTGTGTGTGTGTGTGTGCGCGCGCGCGTTTGTGTATGTGTGTGTGTGTGTGTGTGTGTGTGTGTGTGTGTGTGTGTGCGTGTCCCATATGGTGCAGTGGTATGTGCAGCGATTTCCAATCGATAGGGTGCGAGTTCGATTCTCGACGATTATGGTCACACACGTCTTTCTTCTCCTTCTCAGACTCCTCCTGACTTTTCTTTCATTTACGTGGGTGGGTGCCAACCGCCAGTGCATGCCGGAGTATGTGGTGTGATGTGTGTGCAAGGAAAAAAGTGAAAAAAGACCAAAAAGCAGGGATTTACTGGCCAGATAAAGCCTTGCAAATCTTCAGCCTTGCAAGCTGTTGAATAGTGCCATCCCAGCAGACGTTGCTATGGCTTCTGCTGTAGCATCGCTATCATCGCCTCTGGTGATGGGCGTCAATGGTCAATGGTGTGTGTGTTTGTGTGTGAGGGGCGCATGCGCTTATGCCTGGAATTGTGCATGCGTGTGTGGAACTTTGTGTGATTTGGGTAAGGAGAGGGGGGGGGTGTGGCTGGCAGGCTGGCCTGAATGAGTTGTAATGCATTTTCACCTCTGCTCTCCTTTACTATTCAATACTATTGGTGCAGGAAAATGGAAGATCTAGTGCACAAGTTGATAGCGTTACTCAAGAAGCAACCCCAACTGCAGCTACTCCACAATGTCTGTCAGCTGCTTCCACAGAACAAGCAAGAAGAGTTTGACAGAACTGCAGCGGCAGCTCTGGCTAGGCGTAAGATATCCACTCTACTAAATTAATGAATATGTCTCTTCCTAGGAGACTCCTACATTAGGAATTTGCCTTTGAGGGATCTGTTGAATATCTCCCAATTAGGTAGGGAAAATAGCTATCTCTGCTCCGGAATCCATTCGCCTATGGTCTCCCCTTACTGGCTTGCTGCGTCGGTCAATGTGTGAGATGAAAGTTTTTAGTTCACTCTCCGTTGTCTGATGATTGCCTAACCGCATGAAACTCAGGGTTACAACAAAGCTGAACGTGCTTCGCTGAGTCTGTTATGGTTCATTGCACACCCTTAGCAAACAACTATCACGCCATTTTGTTACGGTACTCGTACCTTGATCACCCTAATAGCGTTGAAGCTGCAGCGTAAAAACGTTATGGGGGCTGATTTATCGTTGTGACAAACGGTACGTTTTTGGGCCAAATATTGCGTACAGCGTACCCATTTCACCTTGTACCGCGTATATGACGCCATAGATGGTTGTACTGCGCAAATTAAAAGCTATACTCGTGGCAATAGTGTGCTAAAAGTAGCGTGCATCTTGCTAAAGGTCGAACCCAAATCTCGGTATTTTCCCCTTACGGTAATACCGTTACAACATAACGTGTTTTCCTATGGGTGTCTCTATTGTCCTATTATCTGCTGATGTACATGTGCATTGCAGTGGCTAGGGCTATCCGAGGTGCGCGGGGATCAGAGTCCGGGGAGAACATGCAGGATCTGATGTATCGCGTACAGGCCACACCCTCGCCAGGTGAGTGTTTTCCTTCACGGGACGGGCTGCCCTATAAGAATGTGTACGGGTGGCTGGAGTCGGAAGTGGATAAAAAATGTTTCTCAGCTGGTCATTGCAGCTTGCCATTGCATGCTGACTATGTGTATGTATGGCCAAATAAGAGTATCCACAACGGATCCACATGTCTCTTCACTTTAGTCATTCAACAAGCTAACGTGTAGGCTAACTGGTTCATGCCATGCCTGAGAGCTGGGCAATTCTGCTGATTCTGAGTTCTAAACCGTCACCTACAAGAGAGCTCATACTTATGTGGGTTCATACTAACAGGCAGTGTGGACCTCTGCTAACACCAACCGTACTCCCCCGTTTGTAAGTCACACCCCGATTTCCAGGTCCATTGTCATTCTTATTTCAGTATATTCACTTCAGTAGCAAGTCATGCTCGATTGTAAGTCGTGTGCACCCCTTCGATGGCCCTGAAGTTCGGTGTAAAAAGGTGCAACGTATATTCGCGACAATGCCGTACCTCATTGGGACGCAGGAAGCTGTTCTTCTCAGTCGAACATACTTCTGTATGGATCCATTGGTCAATACGCCCGTGCTCTACACACAGCATGTACGTACTATAAACATGTCGAACCAGAGTATGCACTAAGAGGGTGCTTTCCACGTTGTGACTGTTTTGAACACGCTCCCCTTTCCTGTGCATTGTGTGTAACTTTTGGTCGAAAGGTGGCGCTGTGAAAACGCATCGCTACGTTGGTGGCAACCCGTCTGCTGGAGGTGGTTCAGGCAGCAGATCTGGACATCCACGCATGCATCCTGTCCCAGGTAAGCATACTATTTAAAACTCCACTACTTTCTTGTAGACATACACACCATGTACCGTGTATACGCCCGTCGCAAGAGAAGCACGCAAATCTGCAAATGAACTGGATGTGCACCCAGAGATTTTCTCTTTATCGCAACGATGGCGAATCTTATTCTGATTGAAACAGATCAAGACTAGCGCCAGATAACTGTCTAATCTATACAACTGGCGAAGTTATGTGAATCCCCCCCCCCATGCACACCTGGTCTACACCACACGGAGTACATCGGAATAGGACCGCCAAGACAGTTACCTATGCACACCCTACATGTGCTGGGGTAACCAGTATAGACAGCACGCTGCTTTGATAGAGGCAAACACTAGACACACACACACGCGCGCGCGCGCACACACGTACACACACACACACACACACACCAAGTGATGCTCACTGGTGCATGCATGCTTGCTTGTATATACGCATGCAACCCCCCCCCCCCCCTTTCCACACATACATACATACACACCCATACACTTGTTCACACAAAACTCCTTTCCATATCCTTGCATCCCTGCCTGTGTATATACATGTACACCTGTCCTGACCTGGCTCTCCGTCAGGGCCACCATCACAAGTCGGGTCTTAAACACTCCCAGAAGAGGACTGGACAACACAATTTGTAATTACCCGAATCTTCCAATTCTCATGTCACGGATCTCCTGTTTCTAAGACTGATACCACCCTACCGTATTCGCCACTGCTACCTGCTGCTTTATTTGCTCCTGCTGCTGTCTCTACTGCTACTCTTACTGCGGCCGTTACTGCCTACTGTATAGCAGGAAATTTTCGGACGGAATTTATTTTCGTACGATTTCGTACACAGCCTCTTTTGTACTAAAATTAATTCCGTACTAAAATTTGCTGTTATGTACACTATACATGTACATGCGTGCCGCATGCAAACACGTGCATTTAGCATGAAGCACTGTACGAAAATAAAATCCGTACGAAAGGTCGAAAATCGGCTTTGTCCGAAAATATTTCCGTCCGAAAATTTCCTGCTATACAGTATGTCGCTGTTTGTATCTGCTTCTAGGTGGTGAAGGTGAGCTGGTACGAGTTCCGGCGGGGATGAAGCTAGTGCCGCAACAGGCTGTGATTCTCAAGGACGGACAGAGGGTGGTTGCGGCGAGAACAGGAGCACGAACGAGAGGTCAGGTATGTTGCTTACATAAACTCAACGTTGTCTTATGCTTTCAGGCAAGCAAGCAAGCAAGGCAAGATCTGTTTTGTCAGGCAAGCATATTGTTATCCTGATCACCAAGCAGGGTCCATGCACATAATAGTATTTAAATGTTGTATGGCTTTGGGTTGGCCTCCTCGCACCACTTCCTTTTTCAAACCTTTAAAATTGTGTCGGAGTGCAGCAGGGTGATGGATCTTTGTATGGCTTTTGGGGTTCAAAATTATTTGGTGGTGGGTGCATTTCTACATCTTGAAGAAGTTTGTTTGTATCTTCGGGAACTCACAGACAATCACACTGCATCATTGTCCATGGCGCTAGGCACACCAGTTCCAGATCCACCCCCTCCACGGACACACATTTTTTCTCTCTGGCTGCAGCAGGCTGACTTTGGCGTTTCAAGTTGTACACCTGGTCAAGCCCTCCCGTTGCTTTGTTACTGTTTTGCAGCCATCGAATCAGACTGGTGGTGGTGGCGGCAGTAGTGGTGGCATGTTTGCAGCTGTAGCTGATTTGGCTGAAGGTGACTACGATTACGATGATGACGAACTAGAAAGCAACGGATATGATCTCAACCAGCCGAAGTCTCTGGATTCACCAATAACTAGGTAAGGTCGTTCTATTGCACATTGTCTTCACCGCTTTACATTGCAAGAATACAGTGTACACAAATGTCGACTCAGCTTGTCTTATTGATTGCGGTTATCAAACAAGGTAAGGAGTAGCTTGTTTCCCCGGGGGTTGAATACATTGAAGTTGAACTCTTCAAAATGGTTGAAGCAACACTATCCTTGTAGTTTGAGTGTAGCAAGCCAAGCCGCTGGAGCTGCAACTTATCAAAACTATGACAGATTACTCATTTCATTCCCCAGTAGGGTTTCCAGCATTCCGATTTGCTGTGCATTTGTCAGGAGGTAAACACACTGCATACTGTGGTGGCTATTGAAATCCAGCCGCTGGTGTAAGACAACTTGGTGCCTGGAAAGACTTGTGTCCACTATACACAGTGGGAAGCATGTGCTTTCACTGACCTCCAAGAAACCTTGGGTTGGATTTCATTTGCGACCATTGTACTCATGGAGTCACCGCATAGCATGGTATCTGGTTTGCTGACAAGTTTTCAGGCATGGCTCATCAATTCTTCAGGGTGATAGCAGTCATACATATAGCCTAATCTAAGGCTTGATTCCTGTTTGAAGATATCTTCCTGCAATCATGCCGAGCTCTGTCGTTCTCAACGTTGTTTCTTTCCTCTCTCTCTCTCTCTCTCTCTCTCTCTCTCTCTCTCTCTCTCTCTCTCTCTCTCTCTCTCTCTCTCTCTCTCCCCCCCCCTCTCTCTATCTCTCTCTATCTCTATTCCCTGTCCTGTACCTGTAGGCGTGTGCGTGCTGGTACCAATACAGACTATGACGCTCAGATTGCTGAGGCTAAGGCTGCTGGGGAGGAGACCGCCAAAGTCAAGCTGCGCGAGCGTAGCAAGAAGCTAAACGAGAGCCAGAGCAAGAAGATGGCAGTGAAGCGTTCGTCATTGCGTGAGTCCTATGCTGTGTGTGCGCGTGTGTGTGTGTGTGTGTGTGTGCGCACGTGCATGCGCGCTTGCCTCCGGATGTGTGGATACATGCTTGTTTGTGGGTGCGTGTGTGGGTGTGGATGTGTGTGTGGGGGGGGGGGGATGTGTGTGTGTGGGGGGGGGGGGGGGGGGGGAGGGGGGATGGGTATGTCAGAGTAAATTCACAAGGTTGGGATTTCCGTCAGAACTACCACCACCTGTCCTGGCATCAGATATACATGTCGATCCTAGGTGGTCAGGACAGGTTGGCTACATCCAATAGCCAGGGCCTCCCGTGAGATCTGTTGATGAATCGTACGCCGCTGTTTTGTGCTCTTTCTCTACATGTGCTTGTGTCTACAGTGGGGTCAAATCTTGAGAATCTCGCAAGTGGTACCAGCGGCCACAAATCTCCAAGCCCGTCACCTTTAGGTAACACCATGCACAGAGCTTGCACTATTTACGCATTCCTCTTCTTTGCTCAGCTATTTTGGGGGAAATCCCTAAACACTAACTATAACAAAATATGAAAATTACACGATCCTATTATAAATATTGAATTCCCTTGCTTTGCATTTGTCAGCAGGACAATGGGCACCACCTAGGCGGTTATTCCGTTGAGTTCATTCACTTGGTGATGGGTGATACCCCAGAACAAGATAACCATAGCTACATTTAGACTCTACCCAGGTAACTGCTTTGGCCTAGCAAAGTTGGTCATGTGGCAGTGCCTTCCCATGATTTTCTTGGGGAGCTCGTGGATGTTTGGGTGTGTGTGTGGGGGGGGGGGGGGGGGGCAAGATTTTACAGCAAGCAACAAATTGCATTTCATGAATTCATCGACATTTCCTATTAGATTGCATCGTTCGGCGCTCTATTGCGATGCTTGTCACCGCACTTTTGCTGGGTAAACAAGACATTTGCTGATGGGATTGCGAATACAGTCATTAGCTTGATAGGAATGACCCGAAACATGTGTGTTTTTTTCCTCTGCGTGTGTTGTATGTGGTTATGCATTCATGCTGATGCGCCTAATTTCCATTTCGTTGCGACTTACCACAGCAGTCGGATCGCCACCACCGCCTCCGCCGCCTCCTCCACCGTCTGCCATGTCCGGTGGAATACCGCCACCACCCCCTATGGGAGCCAATGGCATCCCTCTGCCGCCACCACTGGGACCAGACGGTATTCCGATACCTCCACCGCTCATGTTTGGGCCGGACGGTATCCCGTTGCCCCCACCCCTGGGACCAGGAGGAATACCCCTTCTTCCGGGGATGGCGGCCGCGAACCAGAAGAAGCTCAAACATCTGAATTGGGACAAGCTTGGGAACACCAGTGTTGAAGGGACTATCTGGGCGGATACGGAGGTAATCACAGTGGAATGCATTCAGTATGTTTAGTTCTCACCAAGACTGCAGCATAGCCAACCATTTACCTATAAATCTCATTCACACTCTTTTAAAATTGTATCTAGGTTACACCAAGGACAGTGTAAATTGAATTATTGTTCCCATTTTTGGGCCAGGCTCTTCTGCAGATCTTTAGTTCTGTGTAAAATCTATAGAGGGAATAGGGTGCCGATGTACTGGGTACAATTTGAATGTTGGTCTCTGCAGGTAGTTCAGAGGAACACATACAAGTGCATGTACACGTATATCAGATTTGCCATTCGTGTGAAGGGCATGTGTGTACATCAAATCAGAGTTATGAATACAAACTGCCTGCCTACTGTGTGTGTGTAACAATTATATACCCATGGCTGGCTAATGCCCCCCCCCCCCCCCCCTCCCTCCATATTGGCCGACATTCCCTGGCCATGGGAAGGTGAAAACAAATTACAATATGTGTGCTTCCTACTGTTCCACTCCCGACCCCTATCTCTTCCTCATTCTCTGTTCCTTTCGCTCTCGTGAATGTTTGTGGTCATGTGCGTGGGTGGGGGTGTGCAAAATCCATTTCTAGATGGTTGATCAAGGTTTGATGGACACTCTGGAACACACGGAGGTGGAGGAGATATTTGCAGCACAAGATTCATCTAAAGCTGGTGAGATGGATGTTTTTTTATGCAGTAGTGCGATATGGGCATGGAGGGACATGATTTGCTACTGACGGTGGGGCTCAACAGTACGTCATAGCCACCAATAGAAAGACAGAAGTAAAAAGTAATTGAATCGGGACCGTATAGGTGGTATCATTAGGAATCATTGAAGCACAACTTTCGTGTACTCAAAGAGCCCATATGTGAGGCCTCTCTGGGACCGGCACTCCCGCTGCTGTCAATTCACCAAGCCTGGGCCCATTTAGAGTCCATAGATTTTTCATTTTGCCTGGCTTGAATTCACTTGTACATGAAGTGCATTCTGCAGCACACAGCTGTCTAGTTGTTGGACTCACATTCTACTCTCTTTGATCTAGATAAAACATGGTGGACTTCATGCGAGTAAAAGAACGCATTAATCAGTAGCCCGGAATGGGTGATGAGAGTAAAGCTCTTTCACAACAGTCCCATACGGTGCATGCAGGAGAGACAGCCTGAGGTCAAAAGCTCCGCTATCTGCAGTGGTATCCCACTCTCGGGTGAATGAACTAAAGCATCTATCTACGAGTCATATGCTCGGTGAAGAAAGTATCTGCTCTGAACTTCGGAGCCCCCTCACCCTGCCGACTGACTTGACACTTGACTGACTCACGACTGCGTCAGGAGCACACAAGAATCCCGTCGAACCTTCCACTCGGCAAACCCGCAAGAAAGCACCAATCACTGCTCAATACACAGTGTTTCGGGGAATTCACCCCTCATCAGATGAGCTTGAGTAGGCTCTTGAAATTTCTGCTCCGGGAGCCCTTCGGTGCATACACCTTCTTCACCAATCACTGCCGATGTTGCAAGATCTTAGTTGTATGCTTGTATAATATTTTCCTTGTGCAGGACTCAAGGGCAACAAGAAGAAGGAAAGAAACCTGATTGATTCCAGGAAAGCGTTGAACATCTGTGAGTGAAAGAGGCAAAGCATGCAGTTGTAATGGGCAAGTATTCCCCCGAGCATATTCTCTTTGGTCGTATCTGCCATACTGCTCTTGTGCCTTCCTGTACACTTCTTGCTTCGTGGCTTACTCTACTCTCACTTGTAGATTGAACCGGGGGGGGGGGGGGGGGTCAAATGGTTTGTCCTATAATGAGTATTATCTATTATCAGAACGTGAATGTACACGTTTCAGGTGTCAGGGAATTTTTGATTTTTGATAATTGTCTACTAAATAACTAATGATGTTGACTTGTAACCGATGTCGTACAAACGAGGGTAGACCGGTATATCCTTGCTGTACTTGATACCCCGACTGCAGAGAATGTATAGCTCTGAGGTAAGCACCTGCTGTCGTGGAAAATCAGGCTGAATTTCATGTGCGTGTGTGTGTGTGTGTGTGTGTGTGTGCATGTGTGTGTGTGTGTGTGTGTGTGTGTGTGTGTGTGTGTGTGTGTGTGTGTGTGTGTGTGTGTGTGTGTGTGTGTGTGTGTGTGTGTGTGCATGTGTGTGTGTGTGCGTGTGTGTGTGCTTGCGTTTGTGCATGTGTGTGTGTGCGTGTGCGTGTGTGTTTGTGTTGATCTTCAGCCATCTTGCTCGGTCATTTGAAGCTATCAAACGAGGAGATCAAACATGCGGTGTTGCAGCTTGACACCGAGACATTGTCTGAGCAACACTTGAGAGTTATGAAGGACTTTGCTCCGGATGAGAAGGAGCTGGCCTCGCTTCAAGCCTATGCAGGGAAACTGGATAAATTCAGCAAGGCCGATCAGTTTGCTTTTGAGGTGAGATCTACCAGGAGGCGTCTCACACGGTACGACCAGTGCGACCATGGCTGTACCACTTTTCATCCAGGATGTTCTGCCCAATTCATCCAAAAAAGAAATAAAAGAGCACTGAAATGCGGCTTGTTGGCAGAATATTTTCGATTTTTTTCCTCGAGGATTCCCCAACCTCCCCCGTAAACATTTTAGGGAAATTGGACCCAAATAGCCCAGACTTCATTGTTTCGAAAGTCACCTGAGATGAAATTATTGGTGCGGCTTTGGCCGGATCTGCCGCACCGGTTCCGACGCCCCTGCACAGGCACTACCACTGGCTACGATGTCGAACGGCATTGATGGTTATGGTCTGGTTTCACATCCACCTGTGTGTGTTTGTGTGATGACAATGAACACGACTGCATTCCATGATTGTTTGTTTGCCAATCTACGGTGCAAATGTCCTGGACGTAGCCCTTACCTTGTGTTTGTTGGCTTACCAGGCCCTGCACTCCCTGCACCAATCTATGATTAGCATATTCTCCGAAGTATAAATCGCCCTCCCCTTTATTGGGTGAATTTTTAGTGTTCAAAGTGCGGCTTATACTCCGGATAATACTGTATCCTCCAAATACCAGTTGTCTAGTGTACTCATTCTCCTTTGTTTACTTGTGATGCCACTGCGACACAGCTATCCACCATTCCCAAGTACACCGAGCGCCTAAATGCACTGCTCTTCAAGATGCACTTCAGCTCCAAGGTGGATGAGATCAAGCCTGACCTGGAGGCGATCATCACCGCAGCACGACAGCTTCGTAACTGTGTGGGGCTCAAGGCTGTGCTCAAGGTAACGATATGCTGTTGATTTCGACAAGGGTCAGTTTTGCACAACTGCACACGTGTTAGTCTGCCTCTGTGTCGGTTGCTGTGTCTATGCGTGCACACGCATAACAGTTACGCATATGCATGCACACATGTGTGTATAGGGATAGGGCCATTCACTACATGTTAAGAGCCCAGTGGCATCCGTGATTTTTGCTTGTATACTGCAGCATTCACTATGTGCACTGTGCCAAGGTAAACACGGTGCAGTGAATATACCTAACGTGCTGTTATGTTTGAAGAAGGGCTGAGGCTTCCTGCAGCTTCATCTCTGAAAGGAATTCGGGTGGACACACCCATTCCCATCGCGCTGCACATCCGAAGCAGTTCCGTTATTTTTACAACATGCTGTTATGTTGTACTGTTTATTAGCCAGTGGTAGTGCAGTGTTGTGTGCCCATGGTATCAGTGGATCTGGACTTTTCTCCTTGCATTCTCTGCGCTGTATCTAGCAGACTCAGCGGAGGACGTTCCGGTTGGTTGTAACTCTGAGTTGTTTGATGATTGCCTAGTGGCATGAAACGCAGAGTTCCAACCAACCTGAACGTCCTCCACTGAGTCTGCTATGTTCCTCTAGCTTTGCCTTTGACGTTGAGCACTCTCCACAGCTCGGGGATCAACGGATTTCCGTTGTATCTATGAATTTGCGCACAGATGATCCTGCAGATTGGCAACACTCTCAATCAAGGCAATGCCAGAATAGGGCATGCCACCGGCTTCAAGATCTCCTTCCTCGGCAAGGTGAGTGTTGCATGTGTATCTGTCTTGCTTACCGCACATGCTTGCAGTGCTTGGTTTATCGTGGGGGTATGTGTGCGATAGGTTTATACTCTCTATACTCTTGTTGCACAGCATCCCGAGTGCCCTGGATGGGTTTGGGGGAATCAGCAAATTTATACAATCAATGGGTTTGAATATTCACGTTGACACCTTCAATGTTCCCGTTTCCAGTGCTGAGTTCCTCAGCTACCATTATTGTACCATCAGCTGCCGAGATTGGTTGGCTGGAGAGCAGGCTCAAGCTGTCGAACGAAGACGACAAGCATAGCTCTTATCCGGAACTTAAAGGACACCTCTGACAACCTTGAATCATCCGATGGGAACTTTCCACTGTTTGTGCGATGTTCATTCGAGATCAAGAAGAAGACCAAACAAGTGGGATTGCTGCGCAAAAGCTCGGTGTATTGGGAGGGAAAGGGGGAGGAGGGGGGAAGGGAGAAGGGGAGGGAAGGAGAGGAAGGAAGAGGATGGGATGGAGCTACGGAGAGGATAGTACGAACCCAGAAGTATCTTGACAGTGACATGGCGGCCACAGAGCAGAGAAGAAACAGAGCAACCAAGTCACTTGTCTATAATTTGTCAGCCAGACCTCGCTTAACCGCACACATCCGTTTTCCACAAAAATATCCGGATAGGCGTGGAAACCGGGTAATTGAACACACATACTGTATGCATGCATGACATATGCTTTAAATCAGTAACCAACGTTTTTTCTTCCGGATGGCGAGGGATCGGGATAAAAGAGGTCCGAATAAGCTAGGTTTGACTGTGTGGACTTTTTTGCTGTGGCTATGATCGCCACTGTATTCGACCTGAAGAGTAACGATGCGAAAGGCCTAGTCGAAACGGTATGGTGCTGTGCGAGTTAGTTTGTTTTCCTCCAACCAAAAATCTCTTTTTTCTGTTCTTACTGACAGCTGGAGGCAACTCGCACAACGGACAACAAGAGCAACTTGCTGCAGTTTGTGGTGAAGAAGGCTTGCGAGAAGCAGCAGGGCACTAGGTTTCTGGAGGAGCTTGACGGCTTGGCCGGTGCGGCAAGAGGTACGATTGGAATACTGATATGGTGCTACCCGGAAACTTTAACTTGGGTCTTTTCGAAAGGAATTGGGAGATGGAAACATATATGAAAACAAATCCTTGTCAGATTCTCTTTGAACTGCATCATACCTGTGAGTTCCCAGGCATGGTAAATACATTGTGTGATCATACTCAACTTACAACTTACAACTTTGAGTCGTGCTGCTGGTGTGATGAGGTCGGCCAGACAGCGCATCGCATGTAATGGAGGTGGAATTACTTTTTTTGATCACACCCAATTCAATTTGCATGCCTTTCCACCGTATCATAAGCAGCATCTGCGCCATGATCCTTGAGGTTGGTGGCATTCCTGAGGACTGTAAAAATTGTGGATTTTTTCTGATGTCTGTGTGCTCTATTTCCTCCCCATTTCTTTCATAAACCTCACAGTATCTAGTCAAACGTTGCGTGAAGAAGTGCATGAGATCAAGACACAGCTGGACAGGATCAAGGAAGATGTGCTGGAGACCAGCATGATGGCTGAGCAGCTGGACGGTGATAGGTTCCAGGAGGTCATGGACGTGAGTGGGATCGCAGTGGGATCGCAGTGTGATGTCGCTGAGTGCCTCTCTTTGCAGGAGTGTGTCACGGCCGTTGTATCCAGTCTACAGGCCCGACGGTAGAGACACGCACATGCACAACAAGAAATCTCAGCTCACGACCCTCCATTCTGTTGAATAAACCTCTTATACGGGCAGTCACACAACATGATATCACTGGCCTGACACAAAAACTAAAGAAAAAGCGAAACAAAAATACCATTTTACTAGGACCCTGCACTATGCTAGATCTTTGCCTACATATAGGCCATGAAGCAAGAGCTACTTGTAGCTTTGTCATTGGTGAACGCCTGTGTGCGCGCCTGGCCCGCCACTGGCCCTTTGCACCCTGTCACACAAGACATACGAGCATGCACACACCCCTTGATACGTAATAAAGCATTTCAGATCATGGCTAGCGCCAACCCCTACTGTTGTAACATCTTCTACATAGCATAGGAAAAGAGCGCTGTTCACCCTGGCTGTGAAACGTCCTTTGCATAGCTTAGGAAATAACACCTAGGTACCACCTGATAAACCCTAATACAATTTAATGGAAAGTTGTCCTTTTGGAGGGCAATGAGATGTACCGTATTTCCTCGATTATAAGTCACACTCGATTGCAAGACGTACCTCCATTTTCTGGTTTGAGTGATCATGTTCTGATATATTCACTTCAGTAGTAAGTAATGCTCGATTGTAAGTCGCACCCCTTTTTTTACCCTTGAGTTTTAGTGACAAAAGGTGCGACTTACATTCGGGTAAATACGGTACTTAATTTCTGGGATACTATCTGACTACTATGTGACTATCTGACTTTCCATGTTGTATGCTGACCTTGTCTACAGGACTTCCTTGTCGTGGCAACTGTCAAGATGGACGAGCTGAATCGGCTGTACACCACCATGGAGAAGGAGTTCAACGAGGTCGTCAACTACTTCGGAGAGGATCCGAAGAAGACGCGCTCCGACGAGTTCTTTGTCATCTTCAGCGAATTCATACAAAACTTCCGGGTGAGCCGCAAGCTAGTGATTGGCTAAGGATGTTCAGCACACGAAGCACAGAAGCCATATATTTTCCAATAGGCCTTTCGTAGCATTACTTTTCAAGTCGAATATGATGGTGATTAAAACAGCAGCAGGCAGGTCCTTACAACCGGCACTTTGACGGTCAGAGCAGTGGCAAAGCAGCACCACTGCCACAATTTCGAAAAGATTTTGGAAAGATTTTCCATCGACGGTAAATGTGAAAATTATAGTATAAAAAGTTCATTTGTGTTTCATAGCCAGGACCGGACTGCATGACAAAATCTTTTCTCGGGAAAACTAATCAAAAGTGTATGATCCCCACGAGCAGGCAACTCTCGCAGGCAATGTGCTGACACAATAGATCTTCTTCAACCTGACATCGCCTTTTTGAAACGTTGCCTGTGTGAGCGTGTTCACCGACATCTGTGTGTTCCTGGTCGCACATATACCCTGCATAAATCCCGACAAAAACAAAGTCGCACATGTGACTTCCGCATACCAGCGCACGAACGGATATTTTTGGTTGTATTCCCGCATTGAGATTAACATCTGGTGGCCAGAGTTGCCTTACACCAAACACACAGCAGCATTTGATCGAGGTTCGGAATTTTTTTACGTAACAGCACTGCAGTATTGTCGGGTTCCGAAGAACTGGGGGGTCAGCCTCGTAGCCTAGGCCGTTCTTGTTCTTATGTACTATGGTTTATGCACAGTTGAGTCAGCGTGTATACATTGGTATGCTGTGCTTGGGGAATTGCTAGCCTGTTCATTCTTCGGCACTGGGTTCTACGGCACTACGTTCTTCAGCTCCTGACAGCATTGTAGTAATGTTGCCCAATCGCTAACTTTTGTATAGAACTATTGAGTTGTAACTGGATCTCATGTCTAACTTTGATACCTTGCTCTGTTGTTGCTGTGACATATATTGCCATTTGTCTCTTACCAGCGCGCGTCTATAGAACTGGAACGGGCACGAGAAGCCGAAGAAGCACGCCAGAAGCGAGATGAAGCCAGAGAGGTGAGGTAGCACTCTTGTTCAGCACATTTCCTGGATCCGCTGTGCATTGCTCATCCTGACGCAAGAAAAGACACAATTGCTTACTCTAGTTCTTCCTCCAGCACGATGTTCTGGATAGCTCTCTCTCTCTCTCTCTCTCTCTCTCTCTCTCTCTCTCTCTCTCTCTCTCTCTCTCTCTCTCTCTCTCTCTTTTTTCTCTCTCTCTCTCTCTCTCTCTCTCGCTTTCTCTCTCTCTCTCTCTCTATCTATCTCTCTCTCTCTCTCCCCCCCCCCCCCCTGCATGTTGAGACGCTGGCTGGTAGACAGCAGCGTCAGCAGCTAGAAATCCTGGATCTTGACTCTTTCCATGCTTAGGAGCGGAAGCGCATGTTGGCAGAGCGCGGCAAGACAACTTCTGCAGTTCTGCGCAGCGCACCTGAGACGGACGGTGACATTGTTGACTTTCGCAAACGCCTGCGGCCAGCCAAGAACAGTCCGTCGACAGTGCGCGGCGAGATCTACGGAGACGGTCGCGCCGCCGACAGTGCCGACGATATCGACAGCGACGGGCAGCCCGCTCCACGACTGCACAGTATTCCACACGGCTTTGACGATGCTGACGATGATGATGAGAGCGACGCAGACCGGCAGCACATTCGACAGCGGCAGCAGGCACCGCGACGATCAGCTGCCGCAGCCGCAGCAGCCGCAATGCAACAGCAACTCGCACGAAGTACGCACGAAGCCACTGACTCCGACAGCAGTAGACAACGACCGGCACCCCTTGCAAGGCAGCCACACGTCCAACACGTTTACCAGGATGATGATGACAGTAGCTTTGGCGATCAGCTGGAGCGACTACAGGACCGTGGCTACGACGCTGAGGACGACGATGATCTCGTCGTGCAAAGCGGATTTGCGGACCCATACAGCGGCGAGCAATCGTTCTTCTGATCAGGGGTGTGTGCCTGTGGGTTTGCAGCTGTGGGTGCGCGGGCACCCTACCACTTTGCCATGTGTAAAAGAGTGCACAGGAACAACTGAGGGCCATCTCGTAGGCTAGAGGCGGTTTGACTACATTCTTCTCTGCCCAGCGGCCACACGGCAATCCCAGAGGTGATTATACTTTCTGTAGCAGAATAGTTTTAAATATTCTACCAATTGTTCCCAAATGTACATAGGACTATCATAAATTAGATGGAGCACCTAGTTTGAGCACTAACGTTTATATATTTTCAAGAATATTTGTTGCATTCCGCACTTAAAATTTGCTTCAGATAGATAGGTTCGACTTGACAGAACTGCGCAGAGGAAATACGCTATCAAATCATTGATTGCTTTCATTAGGGTGATATGTGGTGGCACCATTAGAGAACCGTTGACAATCTTCTTAGAGACAAAATTGCTGATAAAATCCAACGCAATTTGCTGGATTTTGATCCGCTTGTAGAATTAGAGAATTTGACGCCCCTGCACTATGTAATAATTATAGGATGAATATGTTTTTGATAAACTGGGTAAATGCTACTGAGTGGCCGGCGCATAACCAGACTATGCTGCTGCTGCTATCGCTGATGTGAGCGCGCACGTGAGTAAGGATGTGTAGCGGCAGGGCCAGCGCTACTGGTGCGGCCGGTATGGCCAAGGCCGTATCAATTTTCCCCAAAACATCCGGTCCACGTCTAACGTCTAAAACCGGGGAGAAAAGGATTCGGTGTATGATTTTGTACAAGGAGTCGTAAAAATTTAATACTGACCACCCTGTCATCAGGAACATTCTACGTCCAGTGAACTATCATAGATGCACAGTCTGAAACTAGTGTATTCTGCATTGGAATATCAGACTTGTTGCAAGTTGTACCCAGGGGCTAGGAGATACACCGAAATGCGCCCAGAGTGCAGGATTTGCCTTTCTACGTTAAATTCCTTTTTTCAGGGCACTCGGCTGCAGCACTCCGTGGGAGCCGCCTCCGGCTCTGAGTGGGCTGTCTTTTGTGCTCATACTGGGTATTATGTCAGGCAGTTCGACCGTGTGTGCCTGTCTGTCTGTCTGTCTACATGTCTGTATTTATGCCTGTCTGTCTGTCTGTCCATGTGTGTGTGGGGGGGGGTCCCATATGGTGCAGTGGTATGTGCAGTCGATTTCCAATCGAGAGGTTGCGGGTTCAATTCCCGACGATTATGGTCGCACACGTCTTTCTTCTCTTTCTCATTCTCCTAGCTCTCCTTTCATTCTCCTGGGTGGTTACCAACAGCCAGTGTATGCCGGAGTATGTGGTTTGGTGTGCGTGTGAAAAAAAAAATGAAAAATAGGGATTCACTGGCCAGAAAAAGCCACTTCAATCAGCTGTGTGGTGGATACCAGGCTAAAACTAGTGGCAGTCAATTCATCAGCCTTGCAAGCTGTTGAATGGTGTAATCCCAGCACAAGTTGCTATGTCTAACATAGCTGTTCGCTATCATCGCTTCCGCAATGGGCATGTCTGATGTCTGAGGTGTGTGTGTGTGTCTGCCTGTCTGTCTATTGTCTGTATCACTACCTCCTGTACAGTGTGTAGTGTGTGTAGTGTGTGTAGTGTGTGTACTGTGTGTACTGTGTGTAGTGGTCAAGTTGTAGTACAGTGTAGTAGGCACTAATACTGGCGATCACCATTCTGTTCCTGAGTCACTTCATGCACACCTGACTGCTAGCCACTTTCTTTTCATTTGAATGTGTTGTGTTCCTGTCGCTCCATTGCTGCTCCCACATTCTGGATGTCGACGTCGAATAGAACATGCTGTCCAGCACGCGGTTGGTGTGGCAAAGCCAGGGTCCAGGGGCACGTAATTGGTACAAGTGCGTCGGAAGCCGGTGTTCAACATTGTACAACATGTAGTGACTGCCATGTAGAGTCAGTGAAACCACTGTGAAAGCTAGCACCGAATTTCTGTCACGCCACTTTCGGAACCGTCGGCTGAACGTAACGTTGGACGAAATTCGGACTGCAAAGGGTCTCTAAGACTAAGATCTGCAAATCCAAATCAATCCACAGTGTCAGATGTAAAACTTTTGTTTTATTGAGCAAAACTATGTGTTCGCACAGAAGAATGTGTAAAAGAAGGATGATGACATTGCTTCACATGACAGATAGAGAGAACTCACAGAACGAACGAAAAGGAGATGGGAAGGCGAAGCAAAAAAACACAGTTGCGTGTTCAGCGAGTATTTAGCAAAATATGTGCAAGTAGCGGAATTAAAATGTCAGAAAACTGTGAATAATTGTGTTTAAAAAAGCACATGCATTATTGAGCGTGGAGGGCTAGGCTCTAAAGATAGTCATGAAAACAGCTTTGCTGGTCAGAGCTTAGTAGCGGGAGCAGGGTTAGCATTAATTGGAAGGAAAGTATAATAGGGTTAGGTGCTCTGTACAGGGAGGTTTCTTTCTACGTAGTCTTGGACTGATATCGGAGTGTATTCTAGGTAGTATGACAAGCAGACTGTGGTGCAACGGATACCTTGGCTTGGCATCTCACGAGTCCCACATACGTATTTGTATGGTGAGTGAAGATCAGTTGAATCTGGTGTACGCCTATGTCTGGGGATTATAGTAGAATGGATCAAGGAAATCCAGTGTCTGGATATTGCCAGGTGGATTGTGCTGGCTGGTGGCTTGGCTAATCTGAGACGCCTGGCCTGATGTTACTCCGTTCTGCGATTCCACTTGGGGTGCCATTGCTGTCGTCTGCTCCACTGGCATGGCATTAGCCGAGCTTGCATTCATCCTTGGCACGTTGGACGTCCGCGACCCGAATGCAGAATGCTGGGCCTCTGCTAAATGCCCAGGCTGGTGGATTGCTGGCATCCAGCTCTGCGATGAAGCATTGTCCATTTGCTGGACAGGAGCGGACGTCTGTGCGAAAGGACCTGAGGTCAAGTTACTGTTGGCAGGCCGTGGCGGTCCACCATCCAGTTTTCCAGAGAGCTGCATGGGTTGGCCGTAAGAGCTAGTCGCAACAGGGTACCTGTCCGCCACACTTCCCGGCGGCGGGTAAGTGTCGAAAGCGTTGATCATTGCCTGGTGCTGCCGGTGATTTGCTGGCAGCGGCCGAGCATCATTGATGTGTAGCTTGTACAGCAGAGACGCTGTGAGATCGCAGTGTGTACTTGTGAACCGCGCGACTTCCATCATGGTCCCGTAGGCCAAGCATGCACCGCGCTCCCTGTCCGGAGAGCAACTGGAGTCAACCAGCATCCATCTACCTTTGGCATTGCTGCACACGGTCCTGGCGCGACCATCACTTGGCGTGACCAGCACGTAACCGCTGCGTTTCTTCATGAGTGTGTTACGCAGTGCATCGAACAGAGGCGTACACTTCTCGTCGCCTAGTTCGGGCTCTTGAAGCGACCACTTCTCCACGATCTCAAGCCCCAGTTGAGGGTCGAGTCTATTGATGACTGCCAGTGCCCATTCCACCGTGGGCGATGATGACGGCGCAATCGCGCTGGCCTTTTTCAGGCAGTTCATCAGCTCGCCACTGGAGCGGACGGTGATTCCCTGGTTGATGTCTTTCGGAACACGTATGCCTGTGTCGGTCAGGACACTGGCCGCGGCCATGGTCGCCGTGACGAAACCGTTGTGAGGCGACTTACCTCCGCACTGCCCCTCCTCGCTGCACTCGTACGGGTAGACCTGAGTGGACGCGCTGCCTACTGGCTCTCGGCGACGTTTAGTATTCCTCTTGTCGTCTCGACGCCGTCGCTTTTGAGTTGCCGCAGTAGCTTCTCCCGCAGGCGATACGAGTTCCTTCCACCCCTGTGTCAACAACATCTCACCGTCTAGCTGACCGGGCTGAGTAGAAGACGTGTCACTGCCAAGGAGCCCTAATCTTGGCTCGGGCTGCGTGGTGTGTGCCGCACCAACACACAACGGCTGCTCTCTCGTATACCCTGCGGTGGTGTCTGTCAAGCCGAGTACTGTACCATGTCCAACGGTGGTGTCTGTCAAGCCGAGTACCGTACCGTGTCCAGGGGTGGTATCTGTCAAGCCGAGTACCGTACCATGTCCAGGGGTGGTGTCCGTCAAGCCGAGGACCGTACCATGTCCTGGGGTGGTGTCCGTCAAGCCGGGTACTGTACCTTGTCCAGGAGGGGGCCAGAGTGCGCTACTGTCCATGTCCGCCGTGGTGCTTACAGCACGTGACTGGGACGGAACGGTTCCGTCTAGTTCGCTCTCTGTTTCCGTGGCGCTCCGGAGTAGCGCTGAGAACGTGGCGTCGTCCGGTGTGGGATGATGGCCGACAGCGCCATGATCTCGACCTGCTGTACTGCCTGCTGCTTGTGATGTTCTGGAGTCTGTGTCCTGCAGCGCCACAGATGTTGCGGTTGGGAACTGAGTCTCCGTAATGTGTTGTGACGAAGTAGGCAGAATGCTCTGCTGGTCTGCAACACCATCCACGCCACTCATCGGCGGACCATGTTCGTTGGACAGGGGCGGGTCTCGGGCCGACGCCTCGTGAACGCCATTTTCATAGCTGAGACCGCTTGTTGCTGCGGCTACTGTCACCAAGGGAACCACGTCTACAGATGGCATATTGCCATTGGCAGTTGAGCAGGGCGATGTGGAGGAGGGCTGGGTGAGGGCACCGCTGAGCGTCTCTGCCATACCAGCACCACGCCGCTCCTGCAGTGTAAGCGACGACTCGGCGCAGGATAGGATAGGTGTGGTGTTCGTTGCCCTGGACAATGCCGCTAGGCTCTGCCCACCGCCCGATCCTCTCGACAATGCAGCTAAGCTCAATCCAGTGCCCATCAGAGAAGAATTGTTCGCAACGGAAGTTGTTACTGGCTGATGCAGGCGACTTGCATTTTCAACGGCAGACAGTTCTAGGGGTCTTGTCGTGCTGGTCAGTGACACATGGCAAGTACTATCGTTGTCGCTGTTGGAAGAAGGAAACGGCGGTATGATTGATTCCACTCTGCTAGGGTAAACGGTTACAGTTCGACTGGGGAAATGTCCTGGGTCACCCGTACTATGTGGCTCTCCGTCCATGCCAGGTTGTTGTTGTTGTTGTTGTTGTTGTTGTTGTTGTTGTTGTTGTTGTTGTTGTTGTTGTTGTAGTTTTGACAGACTTCCTGGACCTGTCCCCGCAGTAGGGTTTGACGCCACACCAGAATGTGCACGTGGTGCCAGAGGACGGAGCGTGGGAAGGGTATTTCGGCACATCGTACCCTGGAGAGAGTCTGTTTGATCAGCCACTGAGGTTGATGGTGTGGTGAGTTCCGAACGAGTGACTTCTCCCACAGTTGCAGGTTGTCTTATAATGGTGGGGGAAGCAGACCCAGGCGGTACTTCGCTCGGCATCCACAAGGCTTTGAGTTGAACTTCAGAAAGCTGCTGCTCTGTTGAAGGGGCTGCTCCCTCGGCAGTGCTTGATCGTAGACGAGAGAGCTCGGATAGAGTTGTAGGGCCTGGGCTATTGATGGTGGGAAACAGCTCTGACAACCTGTTGTTAAAGGAAAGTAGATGATCAACCGGTGCCTGTCCTTCCGTCATCAGCTGCTGGTCTAGCGTGCGAGTATCTTGTGCATCGTCCTC